CCCCGCCTTCGCCCGCGACTTCCACGTGAACCTGTTCGAGGTCCTGCCCTGGCTGAGGGACAAACTGCGGGACGAGGACCTGGGCTTCCTGCCCTGAGCTCACCTGGGCGCACCTGAGCACACCTGGGCACACCTGGAACTAACCTGGATACACCTGGAACTAACCTGGAACTAACCTGAGCTCACCTGAGCGCACCTGGATACACCTGGAACTACCCTGGAACTAACCTGGATACACCTCGAACTATCCTGAGCTCACCTGAGCTCACCTGGGCACACCTGGAACTAACCTGGATACACCTGGATACACCTGGAACTAACCTGGATACTCCTGGAACTACACTGGAACTAACCTGGATACACCTGGAACTAACCTGGATACACCTGGGCACACCTGGAACTACCCTGAGCTCACCTGAGCTCACCTGGGTGCACCTCGGCACACCTGGAGACACCTGAGCTCACCTGGGCTCACCTGGATACACCTGGAACTAACCTGGATACACCTGGATACACCTGGAACTAACCTGGAACTACCCTGAGCTCACCTGACCACACCTGGAACTACCCTAGAACTAACCTGGATACACCTGGAACTACCCTGCAACTAACCTGGAACTAACCTGGATACACCTGGGACTAACCTGGATACACCTGGAACTAACCTGGATACACCTGGACGTGTCCCCCTGTGATGTCACCACCGCCGGTGGCACCTGGCTGGACCCGGGAGGGCGGGGGGGGCGATCCGGGGGCTCCCCAGGTGTCACTGTCACACCCCCCAGGTGTCAATAAACGAGTTCCTGTCCCCTCCAGGTGTCAATGAATGTGTCTCTGTCCCCCCCCCAGGTGACAATAAACTGCCCCCCCCCCCAGGTGGCGAGCCAGGTGTGCTGTCCCTGTCCCAGGTGAGGACACAGGTGTGTGCTCATTGCCTTCCTGAACATCACCTGCGAGCCCTGCCCCCCCCAGGTGTGCTGTCCCAGGTGTGTTTATGGATGGCACAGGTGACAGGTGTGCTATCCAGGTGTGTTTATGGGTGACACAGGTGTGTTTATTGATACAGGTGTGCTGTCCAGGTGTGTTTATTGATGACACAGGTGTGTTTATTGGTGACACAGGTGTGTTTATTGATGACACAGGTGTGTTTATGGGTGACACAGGTGTGTTTATTGATGACACAGGTGTGTTTATTGACACAGGTGTGCTGCCCAGGTGTGCTGCCCAGGTGTGCTCACTGCCCCCCGAACAGGTCCTCGTTGTAAACCACCTGTGACCGCTTGTCCCGGTGCGAGCCCTTGGCGCTGTTCTTCACGGCTGGGGGGGCACGGGGGGGGCACGGGGACCCCAGACTCACAC